ATTCAAGACGGAAGATTGGGGAACACAATTTTTTTGCTCAACTATAATAGGCAATTCAATCAGTGTTTATAGTGGCCATTAAAGTGCTTGGTAATTGTATTAGTTTAGCAGTAAAACATATGTCCCACTACTTGGTTTTCTAAAAACCTATCCTTTTTCTTTGGCACACACATTTGCGCTTTTTTATCTTCTCCTTCTTTTTTTTCCTTGTTTCTTTCTTTTTTTAAGAGACAATTATATCGCAAAATGATAAAAATAATTTATATTTTTTTAACTAGGAATTTTGTTAAAGTTAGACACTCAAAGATGCAGATTAATGTGATTGTTAAATACAAATTTAGCCGATTACTAGACCAGTTCCTTGAAAGAAAAAAAAAAAACATAAATCAACTGAAGCTTCTTTATACACCGTTATAACTGCAAAGAAGGCGAATTCACATCAATTCACATTTTAATGGCTTAAATAATCGACAAAAAAAATTTTTTTTTCTTTGATACAAACCTACTACAGGCTACTGCAGTTATTTTCTGCTAAAAGAAAACATATTTGAAAAGCTGTAATTTTTGAATGCAAATCGAATAACTTAATAGGATTACAGTTTTTTGGAATCAATATCTGAACATCTACTTTAACTTAACATTTCTGTCAAATCATCAGCGCAAATTTTGTCGACTACAATAATCCAGATTCTTAGCTACAGTTGTTATTCAACCCAAAAATAAACTGCTTTAGTTTTTCAAAAAAAATTGCATATTTGTTATACGCAAAGGTTTGCATACACCAACAAATTTATCTGGTTTACTTAACTTTATTGTTTCTACACAGACGTTGCATGAAACCTGCGCCACCAATATCCATCTTTTTAAGAACAGAATCTTTTGCGGCAGTGTTATTAGGTTGCTGAAGACCAAATTGTTCAATATATAAACAAAGCTGACTTATTTATGAACAGATTAGAAATTGTCTCAATCAAAAACTTTCGCCCAAAACAAATATGCGCTTATCATTACTCAATGATTAAACTATGTGAAAAAAATTATCGCATCATGAATAGCAAACAGATGACTTATAAGCAATCAGATTTATGCTCATAAAAACATACAAGTTCTGTCACCAGTTCTGCTTGTTCAGAATCTAAATTACAAAATCTTAGTAAACATTGAGAAAAAAAGGAAAAAATAATTGGTTTATGCCTTTGTAATTTGTGGTCTTCTCGGAAGTACTGTAAAATTTTTTATCTTTGCATAGGTAAGTTTTTTTTTTACAAACAATTTACACATTTCTTGACCGCTTACTAAACAGTTTCCTTCCCTTATTCCATCACCGCTGTATTGCTGTTGCTTGTGCATTTATTCGATTAAACTGTTATAAATAGCAGGCCGTCAGCATTCGGTCTAGTCGATTGCCTGTTTCGTCATTGAACATTCCTAATGTTTGCTCATTTTTTTCTAATCAACTATCCTCCCTCCCCTCAAAAACCGTAAACATCAAACTTCTAAGCAGTAATTTAATTTTAGAAAAGGTTTAATACCCAACAAAATATTTTATAGAGTCCGTTGCTTAGTTTTTTTTTATCCTAATCAAGTTGCACTTTCATTTGCTGCACTGGTTTAAATCAGACGAAAGAAAGTGACGTCACATGTTTTCGATGCTGATAGAAAAAAAGCCAGTAAGTTGAGAGTGTTTCATACGCCGAGTAGAGTATGATATGTAAAAAAGTACAGAAATGAAAACACACAGTTAACTAAAGCAGAAGAAGGGCAGCAAATTTTTCAAAAATTATTTTTCAAGAACAAGTCGTTTGTGTGTACACAATTCCGAGTCTAGTTTAGCACAACTGATGACTGTGTGTTAAGAGGAAGGACATATCAGTAGACAAGGAAGTAGGAGTGTGACTGACCTTTGAGTCGTATTTCCTTCAATGCAGTGTCATTTATCATTTTAGCGAACTATGGTTTTTAAGTTTGGCTTTTCTCCCCGACTACCCTCACCAAACATCCAATTTTTTGATGGTACTGTAATAACGTAGTAGTAAGTTTTGATGATTTGATGACAATAAGTTTGCTGGTTTTTCACCGAATCTCTGCTTTGGGAATTCCTTATCATCACGCGAACTGCCTTCAGTCGCCATAGAGTTATAGAACTGACTATCCTGTCCTTTCAGTCTATTGAATGAACCGGCCTATGTTACGGAAGCATAAGTGGAAATCAGTAGTAGCGTAATAGAAACCGGAATCCAAGCCGGAACTAAAAAGTTATGGTTAGAAACATCGTTGTCGGTATTGTCTTCTGTATCGCAGGACTCTCCTTGAACTTTTAAGAGCCGTTTCTTCCAAGGTCGTTCTCAGTACGCAAAACAAAGAATCAATTATAAATAGTATTCCCTCATGTCCTTCGGCGAAGACAGTAACCGAAGTAATAAACCAGCATCTTCAACCAAACAGCCACTTTCCCAGTAATCCAAAAAGTACAAAGGTGTACGGTAATGGCAAGGATGTATACCGAAAGACCGATGATGACAGAACTGTTGAAGAAACACAATTGATATTCCAGACATTTAACCAAAGGCATCTGACATTGTCCACACTGAAAAATTCTAGGTTTTCTAACTAGTAGAGGAGCATGAATTGCAAACATTCCATGAAATAATTATGCGCAAATAACTCATCAGCAGTAATGTACCGATTAATTTACTAAAACAGCGATTTCAAAGAATCTAAATCATAAGTATAATCCGAAAACAGTTCTGCATAACTTGTTCCAGAAAATGTTTTTGTCTCAAAAGTCTGCTGTGAAAAAGTCTGTTGTGCAGTGCAATCTCAAACCATAGGCATAAGCCTTTTTTTCTACAAAATCAGAACTTTTATTCCTCATAAACTGATGCATTACAAACTCGTTGGTCCACTAGTCACGATCGACGAAAACTTTGGTGCATTGCCACCACCATTTGCCGCATTCATCTTTTTAAATTCATCCAAATCTAATGATTTCTTCCATCATGTAAGTATTTACAATAATGCTGAGAGATGTTTGAAATGAATTGTTTGTTGCGCCACTTTTCTTCCCTGTCGCTCATCTAAAAAGTACGGATTGAAGAAAATCATTGGGATTAAAGTGCGCTCCCCCGGAACGTTTTCGATGCTGTTGCAATTTTGTAATCCCATCAAAAATTTGACCCTAATTTTGGGAACTGTGGGAAACAAAAGGGTAATGGCTTCGTAATTCACTCCTCATCAACACCGTTTCGGTCCTGGCGGAATGCTTCATACAGTTCTGTATATATACTGAAGGGAGGAAAAGAAGGGCAAATGATGCAGTTTTATCACTCTTTTGATGTACCGTGTGGTAAAGGGATAATATAAATAACCACAGAGGCAATTTTGATCCACTACAAAAATAACAGTTTAAATTGATCCCTGATTCTTGATGTTGAACTCATTGCTGCGTTTGCTTTTGATGTTGAACGACACGTCTTTCTACAACTTTTAAGTGGTGAATTTCCCGTTTAAATGCCTGCCGTTTGGGTCCCGTTCTGGAAAACTGCACCACCAACTGGAACACGGTGTCGGATAACGGTCAGTTCCAGCGTTGTCCTGTGGGAATTTGAATCATTTTATTTGGGTGACGGACATTGAAGTGAAGAGGTTTCCCTCACTCCATTTAATGATCCCGAAGGATAACGGAATCTACTTTAGAATGGAGGATCATAGAAATTCTAATTATGTTTAGCTTAGGTTTCTGATATCTGATTGTTGATCTATGATGAAGCTAATTACAACATTTGTCGATGTGTTTGAGAAACAAAGGTGTATTCAAATGTTTTTTGATCTGTTGTTTGCCATAACCATCTATATTTCAAGATCCCCACCTATACTTCAATTCTTTCTAGATCTTTTTTTTTTTTCTTGGGAATGAAGGGACCTCAGCGTTGATGAAGAATGAACCTGGTTATGCCAATCGCTATTCTGGTCACGAAAAATGCCATTTTGGAACTCTGCTGGTGTTTGCTAAATAAAACCTACTTCCTGGAAAATTTTTCAAGAAAGCGATATACATAAATATTACCAAGACTATGCACAAACATAAAATACTTTTGGGGTATGAGTGTGTAGTTTTAATTAATGTCCCTACATTGTAAAAGAATACTGTGTCATGTAGAGGACGGAAATTAACGCACTGTAAAGCGACAAAGTTTTGTTTTCTCGAAGAGGGAATAGTATACAGTAACTACCCAGTGATCAGCAGGACACGATGAATTGATTAGACTAGTAGCAGTCGTAACGCTTTTCCCCAGTACAACGACGTTCTAACACATGTGGGATAAGGTGAGTGTGTGGTCAGGGGCGTGGGATGTGGAGGACAACTTACTGTAATGGAACTTATCCAACAAGAAAAACCTCTCATCAGGAATTCCGTAAGATACAGTTTGGGACTGGATCGGATCCTAATTGTGCAATCGCCTGTCGCTTCCTTCCACAGCGTCCCAGTACCGAATTCTGTCAAGCAGGATTCTGTATGCATCTTGATCTGTTAGCATAACAAGTTTTTTGTGCAAAAAATATTGAGCTGTTGTGGATGGTATTTCGGCTTAGGAATTGTAGGCTGGGCTTCTGACGTGCACATCATCAATTACGGTAAAACGCGCGTTTTTATCGCATCGTTTTGTTTTGATTAATGTGCGTGCGTTTGGGTGGTAACATGTTGGTTGGCTTCTTTTGTAGATATGTTGTTATATGCATAAAGTAGTCTTCAAATTTTGAATTTGTTCATTTTTTTACATTTTTCCCCACGTTCGCAAACTTTTGGTTTGATATTGTGCATAATGTGTGGCTTCGATACCAGAGAAGTGTACTATTCACTTTGAAATGAGGGATTTTCTGGA